AGAAATAAAAATAATCAAGAACAAATAAAACATTGATAAATAAATAAACAACATCGATTCTTCGCGAATAATAATAAAAATTTATCAACTCTAATCAACAACTCAAATTTGCTTGCAGATCTTGCTCGAAAGACCGCGTGGAATATAAAACCGCCTATAGAAAAGCCTAGAAACTACTTTAAAATAGAAAAGCCTAGAAAATGACGTAATTCGACTAATAATATTAAATTAGCGTATTAATATTATCAGAAGTTTGTAATTTAATATTTATTTGTAATTTAGAGTGTTATAATCAACATTAAACTGTTAAATGCATAAAAATTAGATAAAAACTCATGAAGTTGTTTGAATTTTTTCATCATATGCATATATAATAAATTCAAATTTTTTGTATGGGGGTGACCTTTTTCAACAAGAAAATCAAATAAATGTTATATATATATATATATATATATATATATATATATATATATATATATATATATATATATATATATATATAAATTAGTAGAAAATCACTTAACAAAAATTTTTCATTTTACACTGTTTCATCAACAAAGACTCATCAGAAATGATTTTTCCAGGACATTATACAAAGTAATTGTTCTAGTTCTTGATATTCACCATACAACTTGCAATTTGTAAACAGCAGAAATCTTGCCATCAGCAAATAATTTTTAAAAATTGAAATTTTTTCAAATTTAAAGTATTTTTGAATTTTTATACTGACTATAGAAGAAAAGCCTAAAAGGTTAGTAATTTGCATCAGTTGCTTTATGTGCATATTACATAATTACAATTAATTAATTACCATGAATACTTAATAATCTAATGTTTAATAAATGGATTAGTGTAATATTATCAATTTATCAGTCACATATTGAGGCCTTAAAACAATTGTTGTTAATTTTAAAAAAAAATGAACATTGAATGTTTGAACCTAACATTCATGAATTTTATGACAATATTTACTATTTAGTATTTTTTTATATTCATAGGTAGGTACATAACTACATAAAGGCAGCTGCAACAAGAAGTTCTACTGAAGTTTGGCTTATTGGCAAGGCCACTAACCAATTCTCTTCAACAAGATTGGCTACGAACGGCCATCCGCTGCCTCCTCTTATACCACTTCAAAGAACACCTCACTGTGAAGGACAGTATTAATCGCGCAATTAAAGATATTAATATGATTTGGAGCAAAGCAAGACTTCCGACTCAGAGGATTGATTCTGGTGAAAGAAAACTGAAGAGGTTGTATGGTGAATATCAACTGTTGAAGTTGAATAGGACGAAAGCATATGAAAGCTGCAGATTTAAAGAGCAAATGTTCAAAGACGACCTGATGGAACTTTTTGACATGGCCACAAAGAATGTTTTGGACATTATTATGAACAATGAAAACAGACAGTTCCTAACGATACAAAGAGAAGATGTCACCAGTTCAAGCATGGCTAGAGTAGATTGCAATCTTGCAGTGAAAGAGACAAGAAGAGAGAAAAAGTTCAAGGTCTGGTATTTGATACAACTTCCTCCAACACAGGCATACATAGAGGGACATGCATTCTTATTCAAGAACCCATTGGCCATGAAATTGTAAACATCGGATGCCGTCATCATTTCCTGGAAGTCATTCTGAGCAGTGTCTTTACAGCTATTTTTGGTGGGACAGGTGAACCAGAAGTTGATCTTTTTAAGAGATTTCAGAAGAAATGGCCATACATCAGGCAAACAGAGTATTCGTTAGCTAGAGACAAAATCTTTAATAAGGATACCGAAACTCTTTGGAGAAAGATGGTTGTCTACTACACCAAAGCCATAGGACATCAGCAGCTTCGGGAGGATTACCTTGAACTCCTTCAGCTATGTCTTGTCTTCCTTGGTGCAAGTAGTTTTAAGATTGACTTCCAGTTCCGAGATCCAGGAGCAATGCAATGCTATTTGAGGGCCAGTTGGAATTGGCTGCTAAAGAAAAGCAAGGTCTGAAAGAGGTGGTGCTCTTCATTTCTCTTATTTATGGACGTTTCTAGTACAAGACTCCACTGGCTTCATATGCTCCCCTGAATGATGCAATGATGATCGGGCTTCTCAAAAAATATCCAAACCCTATATCATAAATATCTAAACCGTATCAAATAAATAAAGTGTAAGCCTCTGATGCGGCTTACACTGCATTTACTCGACATCTGTGGTTCTTCTCAGAACACCTTGTGGGCTTAGCTTTTTTTGACAACCGAGTCCCTCTAGATGTTAAAAGAGCCATGATAGCCAACCTATATATATATATATATATATATATATATATATATATATATATATATATATATATATATATATATATATATATATATATATATATATATATATATATATATATATATATATATATATATATATATATATATATATATATATATATATATAGATATATATAGATATATATATACATATATATATATATATGTATATATATATATATATATATACACACACACACACACGCTACTGTTCGTAATTATTTGAATTTGACTTTAAACAAATGCTTTAATTTAACTATTGTTCATATTTTTTTATTAGCATCTTAGTAAAGAAAATATCTTAGTAAGCTAGTAAGTAAGCTCTTTTTTCATCATGAAAGTATTTGGATAAAAAGCTTTGATAAAAATCATAAAAATAATATAAGTATTAAAAAGTTTTGAAATTCTGTTCTCCACAAGGCTTATCTTCTTTCATATAATATTAGAGCATTTCTGTAAAAAATGAGCCATCAATGACTGTAAATATTTAACTGACGTGTCAAAGTTTTAAATCTTTGATTTCAAGAGGATATTGTTTGACTTAAAAAGAAATCATTGAGTTTATGATAAAACTTAACACAACATCCATCATGTGAAACATGATGGATGAAGTGTTAAGGTGTGGAACTGTTTTGGTCAAAAAGCCACATGTGACATTGTAATAATAAAGGGAATAATGACAAAGTAGTTCTCTTGGACACTTAAAAACTAATGTTATATCTTTAGAGATTGGGTTAATGGGAAGCTGTTTATTTTTTTAAAAGAGTTTGAGAATGATCAAATATTGAATAGAATGATTTAGTCTCTCTAATCACCAGATCTTTCTTGTATTGAATTATTTATGGGATAAATTGAAAGTTATGTCAAAAATTTAAAAGATGTGGAAAAAACTTATTAGTGAGTGGCATAAAATTGACTGATATATCGGAAAAGTTGTTTAGTAGAATGCCAAGAATATATATGGCCGTTAATGTTGCTAAGTGTGATTAATAGGCAAGTAAACTATAAACTAATAAAAGCTTTATATTAATTTTTATGTAAACTTAATTAATAGGAAGATAACATATAATTCAGTAGTTTTTGTTTTTAGTTTTTCTCCCAATTGTAAGTAAAACTTTGATATCTTATATTGAGAAGTATGACCATTTGAATATTTATGGATGTAGTGTCACACACACTACAGCTTTATTTTTAAATTGTTTTTAAAAGTTAAATCATAAACTGTTTTTAATGGGTGACAACTAAAAAACGAGACTGGATTTAAAGACACATATCTCCTTTAAGGAATAAGATTTTAAAAATAGGAAAACTGTTTTAGAAGGTATTCTAGTTTTTAAATATTTTATGTGTTTTTATTTTTTATAGAAAAATGAATAAAAAAATAAATTCAAAACAAGAAGAGGTTAGAAAACGTGTGTATGAATTTTATTTAAATTACAAAAATGCTGTTAAAAAGTTCACTTATGACCACTTTAAAGTTGAGAATATACCTTAAAGTACTATTTACAAGATAATTAAACGTGCTGAAAGTGAATCTGGGTACCAAAGAATTCAAGGAAGTGGAGTAAAAGTTAAAAAAATGACCAGGACAAACATTTAAAGGCTCAAACTCATGTTTGACCATAAAGATGGAGTTTCTCAACGACAGGCAGCTAAAAAATTCAACTGTACTCAGCAACACATTAGTAAAACATTAAAAAAAAGAACAAATATTAAATCAAGAAAAAAAATGACAATTCCAAAACGCTCTGACCAGAAAAAAGCAGTAGCTAGAACTAAGTGCAGTCGATTGTGTCAAAAATTCAAAAATTGTAAACCAATCATTGATGATAAATCTTATTTCATGTTAAATCACTCCAGTATCAATGGAAATGATATATTTTATACTAGTGATGTAAAATCTACTCCATCTACAGTTAAATATCAAACAAAACAAAAGTTTCAAAAGAAATTACTTCTATGGATTGCTTTTTCTGAAAATGGAATTTCTCAACCTTATTTTGTACCAAGTAAACTGGCTGTAAACCAAAAAATCTATTTAAACAAATGTATTAAGAAGAGACTTATTCCATTCATCAATAGGTTTCATTCAGATGGTGCATATGTATTCTGGGCAGATTTAGCATTATCTCACTATGCAAAAACAGTAATTATGTACCTAAACAAGGAAAACGTGCATTATGTTGAGAAAGCGGATAACTCTGCAAACTTGCCAGAATGTTGCCTTATCTAAAATTTTTGGAGTATTTTGAAAGGCCTTTTCTACAAGACTAATTGGTATGCAGAAAATCTTAAAAAATTATGTTCTAGAATCAAATATTGCCTTAATTAAATTGATATTGAGCTCATACGGAGACTAGCTCAATCTATACCAGGCCTAGTTGATAAAGTCAGAAGAAATGGTTTAATTGAGGACAACTGTTATATATTTAAAAACTAGAATAAAAATACTTTCTAGAACATTTTTCCTTTTTGTTTAATCTTATTTCTTTGAAGAGATATGTGTCTTTAAATCCAGTCTCGTTTTTTAGTTGTCACCTGTTAAAAATAAAACTTTTTTCAAGTTTATATATATTAATGATATAAAATGTTGATAATATTTAACATAGTTTATATAAAATTTGTTTATAAATGTACATTAACTAATATAAAAAGTAATAGGTGTACCATATTCAACTGAGTTTATGGTTCTTGTTTTTGTAGGCTCTGGTAAAACTTTAGTGTATGTTACACCCATTATTCAAAAACTGGGAAATGAAGTTGAAGCTGGATTTATTGGAAGGCTTTCAAGACCACGTGTTCTTGTTCTTTCCCCAACAAGGGAACTTGCTTCCCAAATTTTGGTTTGTTGCTTCATTTGAATTATGTAAAACATCAATTCTTTAGTTAAACTATTTAATTTTAAGTTATTTTACATTGTTATTTTTTTATATAAAAGTATCTTTATACATAGATGACAGTTGTGAATGGTAATTATGTTCCATACCTGACTATATCTAAACTTGCTCTTAGTTTGACCTCTTTACTCCAATTAAAAAAATTAATCAATTTAAAATTTTTAGCTTTTGATTGACAATTTTACAATACTAATTTCATTATTTTTAACAAAGCAAAAGTATCTTTAAAATAGGTAACAGTTGCATTTCTCCTGGTGTTTTTAGAAAGTCGAGGTTATATTGAAACTTTTTATAATTTTTTTTTAAACTTTCTCACATTAGGATTTGCTTAAAAAGCAAAAGAGCAGAAAATGAGTTATGTCAATTAAGTTAGCTCTATTTGATATTTTTTATAGAAAATTTTCTGTAAAGTACTCTTAATAAAATTTTTCAATGAAGCTATTTTTAATACTGATTCAGGCTCAGTTTAACAGTTGGTCATCAGAATTGACGGGAATTGAGTTTTAAAAATCAAATACTTATTATTGAAATAACTAAAGAATACACAAAATAATTCCTTACGAAAAAGAAAATAAATTAGCTTTAAAATAAACCCAAAAAAAACTCAAAGTGAAAATTACTCAAAAAAAACTCAAGTGAAACATTATATTAAAGTTATGCTAAACGCTCTTACAAATTACTTCTACTGATTGTTTAATAAATGAACAAATTTTATTTAAATTATTGAAAAGAAAAATATATATATTTTTAAGTTGTAAAAGCACTTTTTTTGAAAAAAATTGCAAAAAAATTTTTTTTTTTAATAAGCTAGTCTTTTTAAAATTTTTAATCATTTCATCCTTTGATTATTAAGTCAAGTTAAAAAAAAAAACTTTTAAACAACTTTTTGTAAAAATAGAACAAATAATAATAATAAAAATAATAATAATAATAATAGCAATAATAAAAATAATAATAACAATAATAACAATAGTAATAATAATAATAATAATAATAATAATAATAATAATAATAATGCAATTAAATCATGGGAAGATTTAATTAAACTTATTTATAACTTAAAGTAACTTTGAAAAAATAATCATATATAATAAATGAAAGATTTTTAGAAACATGGAATAATCATAAAAAATACATACCTACTAAAAAAAAATTTTAATATAACATTTTTATTTTTATTCACCTCCTCAAGGCTGAGAAGGCCACTACAGACGAAGAGGCTACTTAATAGTGGTTATAACCCTCTCTCAACTCTGTAACTCCGAAACACGAACCTTGACAAACAAGGCCGCTGCGCGGAGAAACAAGTTGAGCGCGGTACTACCAGGGGCGTGGTGGGAATCGAACTTTTAATCTACACATAATGGGTTTGTTTGAAACAATCATTATAATTAATTTTTTATTTTATATAATACCTTTGCATAAAATAAAAACTTTAAAAAGAACAACAATTAAAAGTTATGTGTAACATAATGAATTTTTTTATTGCATTTAAATTGTTAAAACGTAAAAAATGCTGTCGTCAAATTGTAAAAATAAAATATCACTAAAATATAAAATATTTAATGAAAACTAATTTATTCTAAATAATAAGAAAAGAAACTTCACTAGACTAACGTTAAATAAAAAACTAAATAACATGACACATATTTCAAGTTTAGATCAGACTTTATAAAAGATTAAATTGAGCCAATACTTTGTATTGATAGTCAAGCTATAAAAAGAGAACACTCGTTAAAATCTTTAGGCGTACTCCTTGATAAAAGCGTAACTTGGCAAGATTATCTTGAAGGTAAAATCTCGAGAAATATAAGATTACTTTATAAGGCGAGGCCTTTATTAAATCAAACTTGTTTAAAACTGTTATATTTCTCCTTTATTCATTGTTATCTGAATTACACAAACATAGCTTGGTGTAGCACAAATCAAAACAAAAATAAAAAACTCTTTAATAAGCAAAAACATGCTATCAGAATATTATCTAATGTAGACCTTTTAAAACATGCTATCAGAATATTATCTAATGTAGACACACTCCAAAGAACTATTTATAAAGCGAAATATACTCACCGTCTACCAAATAAACATTTTTCATCTTTTAATTTTTATGTTCAAAGTTAATGCAAAAATAACACTTAACATTTTTAATTCGTTATTCATAATAAATAAAGATAGATACTTAACCAGATACTCAAGCAACACATTCAGCCTAAAAGTTTTTTTGCAGCAACGGAGTTTTCAATATTCATTAAAGGACCAAAAGTATGAAATAAATTTATATCTAATAAACTTAAAACTCATGAAACTCTTAATGAATTCAAAGTTAAATTGAAACAAATGCTTCCGGTTAGTGACGGAGTGCATGACTTCTTCTAAAGTTATCTGGTAGTACAGATAAGTTTTTTTCAATTTATTTTAAAGTTTATCTTTCCAACCTATTGTCTCATTGGATGAATCATAACCTATATATTTAAAAATATATATATATATATATATATATATATATATATATATATATATATATATATAATTTTTTTTTTTTGAGAGAGAAATTCGGATCCTTATCTACTTTACTTTTGATTAATAATATTAATTAGTATTTAGTTTTAATCAATTAACATCTTTTTATTTATTCTTATCTTAAGAGTTAAACCAACATTTTATTTTTTCTAATTTGTAACTTTTATTTGATTTTTTTAAAAGAATATAAATTTTTTCACAAGTTATATGTTGAAAATTTTTTATGTATTTATTACTCTTTTTATATATTTTTACTATTTTTATATATTTGTTACCAGAAAATCTTATTTCTTATATACTGGTTACAATTACATATGCTGTAAGTAATAGTTTTTATTTTACAGAGTCAATTCTTGGGGCTTGGTGATAAGACAAATTGTTTCTTCTTCTTGCCCCGGCCATCTGCATTTATCTGAAATATTGATTGTATGTATATATACTTATATGGCAAAAAAAGCCCTCCTGATTTTGGCTGTTAAATAATAATTACTAAAGCTGTTGTTTGATTTCTATTTTCATTAAGTATTAAAAAAAATTGATACTTAATGAAAATAGAAATCTGGATCCTAACTATCAAAGATGATAAAAATATAAATGGTTTCCATTCACATATAAAAATATAAATGGTTTCCATTCACATATAAAAATATAAATGGTCTCCATTCACATATAAAAATATAAATGGTTTCCATTCACATATAAAAATATAAATGGTTTCCATTCACATATAAAAATATAAATGGTTTCCATTCACATATAAAAATATAAATGGTCTCCATTCACATATAAAAATATAAATGGTTTCCATTCACATATAAAAATATAAATGGTTTCCATTCACATATAAAAATATAAATGGTTTCCATTCACATATAAAAATATAAATGGTTTCCATTCACATATAAAAATATAAATGGTTTCCATTCACATATAAAAATATAAATGGTTTCCATTCACATATAAAAATATAAATGGTTTCCATTCACATATAAAAATATAAATGGTTTCCATTCACATATAAAAATATAAATGGTTTCCATTCACATATAAAAATATAAATGGTTTCCATTCACATATAAAAATATAACGGAAATATTTTTTTTTTGTTAAATAATTTCACATAAAAAACTTATAAAAGCTATTTGAATTATTTGTTTCATTACTATAAACATATATAGCTTTTTGTTGATGGTTTGAAGAAGAAACTTTGTTTTCTTTATTTTTTTAGCTTTTAGAAAACTAAAAGCTAAAACAAAGTTTCATTAATTTTCATCTGAAAATTCAAAAATGTGACTAAATAAATAACAAATAAAAACTTAAATAACCTTACTTTGAGAGATTTTGTTTTTGTTTCAAGAAAGTTTCCATTTATTGTTATTATTGTACAAGATTTAATGTTGTAAGTTTGGATTATAAACTCTTTTTTAAAAAAGAAATGCTAAGAATAAATAATCACAATAAAATAAACCTATATATTTTTATTTGAAAACTAAATTTTTAATTTTTAGTGAATGATTATAAGTAATCAGTTTCAGTAATGAAACAATCCAATAAGCATTTTTAACAGTAGACACTGACATAAAAGTCATCCAAGTCATCTATCAACCCAAAACATTACAAAAATAACATCAAAAATTAACATATAGCATAACATCACAAAACTAACATAACAACCTGGACTCAGAGATCAAGAAGTGAGAAGTTAAAAAAAAACTTCTTAGCACCACAATACTGTTAAATATGGTTTAATTTTCCAAGGTAGTTCTCTTTCTTACTCAATATAGTAATATTATTTTTTGCTATGCGATGCATATACCTATTGAGTTCTAGCCTGATGTCATTTTGATGACTATTCTTTCAGCTTGCCTAGGCTCTTTCATTTCAATTATAATTTATCTAAACTCACCTGGCTTATCTCTTTCATTTCAATTATAATTTATCTAAACTCACTTAGGCTCATCTATTTCATTTTGATTATAATTTATCTAAACTCGCCTTGGCTCATCTCTTTCATTTTGATTATAATTTATCTAAACTCACATAGGCATCTCTTTTATTTTGATGATGATTTATCTCAAATCACCTAGGCTTTTATCTTTTACTTTGGCGACAGTTCGATTCATCTGGCCTAGCCTGGTTTCTTTGATTTCAATGAAGTCTAATAATTTTAATTCTTAAATTATCAGACATACCTAAGCATCAAAGGAGTGTGTAAAAATGATGCTTAACATAATGAAAGTTGAACTTTTATTTTAAATTAAACTTTTTGGTTAATTTTTATTAAATTTAACTAAAATAAAGTAAGCAAATGAAATAAAGCATATTATAATAATCTAATTATAATCTAACTCTATTCTTTGTCATATTTAAATTAGATGTTTTAAAATAATATAGTGATGTGTGAAATCGACATATTTCTATCAAGA